ACTGTTAAATATGTACATGAATCCTCCAGGCCTACAAGATGACCTCCCAGACGAATTTAAGTTCAAGATCCAGTTTCTGCCTCCCAACACCACCACTCCGTTACTCCAGCCCATGGACCAGCAAGTTTTTTTTAACTTAAAGAAGCTCTTTATTAAAGCACTCTTCGAGCATTGTTTTCAGGCGACTGAAGGGACCAACCTCACTCTCAAAGAGTTTTTGAAAAATCACTTCCACATCGTTGCCTGCCTCAAGATGACCGATAAGGCGGGGGAAGAGGTTACCAAGAGAACTCTAACTTCTTTTTGGAAGAAGCTTTGGCTGGAGAGTGTTGTCGATTTGTGACTTTGAGGGGTTCGAGAGAGTACCGGTGGAACCTGTAGTCAACGAGATTGTGTCTTTGGCCACCATCATGGGATTGTAGGTGGATAACAGTGATATCGAAGAGCTTGTGGAAGAGCACAGCCAAGAGCTGACTTTAGAAAAGCTTATGGGGTTGCATTGTGTTTTACAGCAAGATGTTTTGGAGGAAAGTTTGTCAGAGGAGGAGGAGGAGAAGGTAACAGAAAAGCAACAATCTTCTGGCGAAATAAGAAAAATGCTGAAAGCATGGGAAACTGTTGCTTCTCACATTAAGAAGCATCACCATAATAAGGAAATGGCTATGCGCGCTGCTAATTTATTGATAAAGTCTCTGGACATCTTTCTAGTAAAATAAAAATATTAGCTATGTATCATAATTATTTCAACTGCAAATCGAATTCGCATTCCATGTGGGTTCGTTCCGCGTTTGAAGAAAATATGAAGACGATTCACTCTCCTTAAATATGTATATAATTTTCTTTGAATAAATGTTATAGTATAACTTATACATAGCATTTTGTGAGTATTTTATTTTCGACACGGAACGCATTATCGTATTTTACATTAATTTATATGAGAAAAATTGCTTCGCATAACGAGTGTTTCGCTTAACGAGTGTGAGTCTGGAACGTATTATGCTCGTTAAGCGAGGTTCCACTGTAATTTTGTGACATGTAGTAGTAAAAATAATAGTAGAACCAGTACCAAAGTTGACATTCCCAGTGCCACACGCCCACTCACAGTCGGCCATCGGTAAAAATTAACGACCTGTATGACATTGGTGATGATCCAAACACAGATTTAGACAAATGTGATGTGGTAAACAGCTATCATAATGTGACAGCGAAGGCTACAGGATTGTTGACCTGGATATTCAATGTCATCAGATTTCATCACAGCTGGCTTGTGCATTTTGTTACAACCAAGTCAGACTTACTGAGAACGAAAGGCAAGGACTAGGTAGTCAATTTGAATTTGTGAGCAGCAACCAGAATTGTAAAAGACAGACCATTTTTTATTCCAACCTAAAATTAGTCTCAACAACAGCACCAGCTTACAAGTACACTCAGTCAATAGGCGAGCTGACTTTTCTATGCGCTGTGCAGAAGGTGATCGTTCGGACTTGCAAACATTTTGTGGAATAATGAGTCTTCCGCCGCCTGTCCAGAAGAGTACATATAAACTAATAAATGAAAGGATAGAAAGTGCTGTTAGTTCCTCTTAAACAGCTATCATTAGGAAACCAGCAGAAAAAGAATTTAGATTGGCAGAAAAGACAGTTGATGATAGCCAGGATATTGATGTGTCTGTAGATGGAACCTGAATGACTCTAGGACATTCCTTACAAAAAGGGGTAACAATGCCCATTGGCTGTGTCACAGGAAAGGTTATTGACACAGGTGCACTCTCAAAAGTGTGCAAATCTTGTGACTACTGGAACACTCAAGACAAGGATTCAGAAGCTTATGAGTTGTGGGGACACAATCACCAATCACAGTGTACATCTACACATAATGGTTCATCCAGAGGTATGGAAGCAACAATCACAGTGTACATCTACACATAATGGTTCATCTAGAGGTATGGAAGCAACAATCACAGTGTACATCTACACATAATGGTTTATCCAGAGGTATGGAAGCAACAATCACAGTGTACATCTACACATAATGGTTTATCCAGAGGTATGGAAGCAACAATCACAGTGTACATCTACACATAATGGTTCATCTAGAGGTATGGAAGCAACAATCACAGTGTACATCTACACATAATGGTTTATCCGGAGGTATGGAAGCAACAATCACAGTGTACATCTACACATAATGGTTCATCCGGAGGTATGGAAGCAACAATCACAGTGTACATCTACACATAATGGTTCATCCGGAGGTATGGAAGCAACAATCACAGTGTACATCTACACATAATGGTTTATCCGGAGGTATGGAAGCAACAATCACAGTGTACATCTACACATAATGGTTTATCCGGAGGTATGGAAGCAACAATCACAGTGTACATCTACACATAATGGTTCATCCGGAGGTATGGAAGCAACAATCACAGTGTACATCTACACATAATGGTGCATCCGGAGCTATGGAAGCAACAATCACAGTGTACATCTACACATAATGGTTAATCCGGAGGTATGGAAGCAACAATCACAGTGTACATCTACACATAATGGTTTATCCGGAGGTATGGAAGCAACAATCACAGTGTACATCTACACA